ATGGCTCGTGTGCAACATAGCTATGGAAGACAATCTTGGAATTCGATATATATGTATATATAAAAATATTAACAAGTAAGAAAATAATATTTGATGATAACCGAATCTTTCATACCCGTCATCACCGTGATCCTAAAAGAAAAGGAAGAGATTTGCCCATAATTCGCGGAAAATTTTCATTTCCAGTGTCAGTCGTAAGAAAACCAAGTTTTTGCTTTGGAATCTTGACTTCAAGAGGTAAAGCAAACGGACATAGGTAAACCGAGTTCACTATACAAGTAAGTTAATCGTTTATTTATTAATTTCCCCTACACGTTCCTGCACATAAGCAGCCAATAGGAGGTGTGCGATACACTTTCATCTCTCCATCTTTGATAATCGTCGACTTTTGCTGTAAATTGTCGAAGGGTTCCCGGCAAAACGTAGAAGGTCCCTTTCACTCACGCGAATTATACTCTTGTACATTGTAATCTTGATCGGATACAGACGTTATAAACGGCGCCGGTATCAGCTGCAATTAAATATTTTTTACCCTAATCTCTTGGCTGCTTCGTTCGTTGTCTCAACGAGATCTTCTTTTCAATGTTTGCGCTTTTTTTATTCTCGTGTCTAGAATGTGAAGAATTGTCGGTTTCTCTATATTGATACTGTTAAAGGAAGGAACGTGCCGTGTTTTATTTGGCTGACACTATTCGATGGGTTTAATGTTCAAGTGTTGTTTTGTAACATAGCGATGAATAATTGCAGGTCAAATACATATCAATATTATTTTTATAAGCTTAAAAATTTAAATCTCGTCTGTCAAAATATAATGTCATTTCGATTAATTGTTTACGATCTGCAGCGGGCTTGGTGACACTACGTTCATCAAATTTCGGTTTCCTACCATAATTTTCATGTTGTCTATTGAAAGTAAGGAGGTTAACTATCTAATGGCGGCATTTTCATTGAGGCATTAGTATAAACTGCTACGAAGGCAAGCTTTCTCCTCTGTTTTTCAAGCAACAATAGATCAAGCTGGTCTCTTTTAGAAAACACATCTGTATCTTTGGATAAAATTAGTTTCTTATCTATTTCTCTTAATATCCTTTCTTCGTAGTGCTCTTAAAACCACTAGTTCCGACTGCTCATAGTATCTACAGCGAGGACTTCTTTTAAAGTCGTCAATTAATAGAAATTACTTACACTTTTAATCGTATAAAATTTAAAAGTGATTAATTCTTTTCATTCCTTTAACCAACTGTTACCCTAAGTGGTAACCATGAACACAATGTTGGAAAAGAGACTATCCCTCGCATACAAGAACTCTTCTTAAAACTTTTCTCATTTGTAATCATTAATAGTAACTAGTAGTTTTGACTATATACTGCGGTGTAAAGTTTTATTAATGAAAAATTGCCTTAAACAAATCGAGTTAAGAGGATTTTCCATTAACCCTTTAAAAACCACAGCAAATGCACTAAAAAGTTAGAACTTATCGTGGCCACACAAAGTACTAAGGCAAGTAATTTCATCATATGTATGAAGGTATGTGCGCAGAAATTACGGTTAGTTTGCCTTAAAAGTATGTTAGCCATTTCAAGTTTATGTATTTCACTGGCTTAAGTCCAACTGGTACCTAATGAACAACCTGACTGATGCTGTATTGGTATTTCTTGTTTCTTTTTTCTTGCCTACGTAAACGCTGTCTATATATATATATATATATATATATGAGTTGCTGTGGCTTGAGTAGAGAAGTAACAGCTACAGACTTGACCCATTAGGTTTTCTTACCTTCATAAACACTAAGTGCTGGTAATCAAACAAACGCATTCATGGGGTATTTTTGGCTTTTGTATTTTGTTGGAAGAGCATTTTTAGAGCTACTTTACAGATTTTAGGTAAAATGTTCACTGCGTGTGCTCGTGTGTGGGCGTATGTGAAAAGAAAACTGTTTTTGACGAAATTTGAGTGCATTTGACTTGACTACATTTTCAATAAACGTATTTGGCATAGTTACTCAATAAGAGGAATTAATCGAAATTGAAGTTAAAAATTTTGTTGTGTATGATATAGGTTTAGTTTGTGCATCTGTGGTAAGAATCATTCTAAAAAAAATTTATTGTGAACGGAAATTCATCCCGAAATCATAAATATATTAGAGGGATGTTCGGTTTGAAACACAACCGTCTTTCCCTTGGTAAGTGAGTTTTTCAGCCGACTCATGTTGGGCTGGAAAACAATGAAATTTTTTAGCTTCGAATGAAATTTTTAAAGTCTTAAATATTTTACATTGAAGTGAGTACTTGATTAAAAAGTGTCGCAAAGGAGGTACTTGCCGTCTTCGTTCAGCTACGATCAGTACAACATTTGAGGAGAAGTTAATTCAGTTTTAAAAGTCATTACGGATTAGAAAAACTATTTGATTTGATTTCTTTTCTTAATTTGTTTTCTTTAGAGAACAGGGAGAAGGGTTGCTATTATCTTACACTCACTAAATTTGTATAAAAAAATGGATAAATTTATTGACCTTCGGTTTTGTTTAGATACGAAGTTTTAAGTGCTAAAGTGCATACATTTTTTTGGAAGTTTTGGGCAAAGGGAGACGTGACAGCTTTGACACAGAAATCGTTTTCTTTATATGCTTGATTTCTCTAACTGCTTTGCTGTACATTACAGTATTTCGTCTAGAGCAGTGAGTCAAAAATATTCTAAAAATATTAGGTTAATTGAAAAGTAATTTCGTTTTTTCCCAACACTGGGTTTAATTGCATTTTCTCAGAGCCGACTTGACACATGGCTTGACATGAGTCGCATGTTCATTACATATTTTAACAGCTAATATGGCAAGATCTGATTTTGAAAAGATTTACTTGATTCTGTGGGATAGGTTGTAGGCTGTAGAGAGTCGAAAAGAAAGTAGAAAAATCCGGCACATAGTTTTTAACGATAAAATAAAAATTTGGTTAAAGCAAGAAAAAGAAATTATTGAATGTGTGTAAAGATGATTTATTGGCAGAAGATCGGTATCAAAACTGGTTTACAAAGTTTCGTCGTGACGATTTTGATACTCAAGAGGTACCACGTACCAGGGATCTGATAAAGATAAAGCTGGTAAAGACAAAACGAGGGTTGAAGTAAAACACGATTGAAGTTTCAGTTTTCAATTTTAAGGAAATTTTTGTTTTACTTCGAGTTTGTGTTACTTGCAGCACACAATCGGTTTAATTTGGTCTTACGGGATTGCGCTTAAAGCTTTTTTTGTTTTCAATTGCTTTTTGTATTGGCCAAGCTATTCACTGTAGTCGAACTCAAAGTGCGTGCAATGTAGCTTCATTAATATGTTCGGACTTTCGTCTTTTTGGACCATTCAAAGCTTGACGCCAATGGAAAAACGAGAGAAAATCGCAACCTAGTATTACTACTTAACCTGATATCTGCACATTTTCACACACATTGTTATTTGAAAGGTTTTTCAACATAAACCTAAGGTAAAAGAAAGCATTCATGACTGAAGCGACCTTGTTGAAGGCGCCCTTCCTTATGCTTGAAAGACTGGAAGTGACGTTAGAGCGTCCCAACGTGGGTGTATAATTAATTGCGCGCAAAAACGGACGAGAAGCTGACGCGTACTTTATCATAGCAGAAGCCCCAAAATTTTCAAAACCAAAAAATTGTCCGATTAGTCACAACGTCACACCTGAGCGAACAACCATTTTGGATATAAAGAGGGTCTTGATACTCATAAGAGCCCTGCTAGCGATCTTCTGGATTCATTGCAGTAAATTGCGTTATTTAATTTTAGAACATCGTCCTGGAAGATAAATTGTTTTACATCTGTTTCGAAAGACTTCTGACTGACTTGTTTCGCCGCAGACAGCATAGATTGTCATAAAAAATACGCCAGCTGTCTAACGTATCGATTGTGGTAAACGTAAGTAAGATCCCCCTTATCAAGACTAGTGTTTCGCCAGTGTTTACAAAATTGACTCTTTTTTTTTGTGTCTATGCCATAGCTTACCGAGAAGTTCTCTACAATACGTATCATTCGTTCGTATGTATATCGTTCAACATTTTTGTTTATAAAATTCATTCATCTTTGTGTGTTCTTTCATTACTAAGAGTGAGTCTCTGATAATATCAATGCGGTGGTTTACATCATCATCCATTTTGCTTTAGATTATCAGTTCAATCCAGTTATTGCTCATAATAGAGCAACGAGAGTTCGACTTTTTCTCGATAATCGATTGACGACGATGTTGGTTTTGATTTCTTTGCTAAAACAAAAAAGCATTGCAATCAAAAGAATAGAGATTTAAATTCATTAAAGAGAAGAAAAAAAAAAAGTTTTTTTTATTCATTTACAGACTTGAGCTAGAGATAGATAGATAGACACTGAAACTCATATATGTATTAGATACTTTTGAGTTAAATCAAATAGCATTGATATGTAATCAAGGAATAGATATGAGTTTATGATTTTGTCAGGGAAAGGCAATCAGACAGTCGGTATACATAAGCTTAGATGATTATAAAAATTTATAAGCATATGTATGCAGGGTTGCGTTTGTAAAAACTATAAAGTCACAGATAAAACTTATATACGGTTTTAGTAGCTGTGTACTTCTCCACACATACACTGCATATTTTATTTGTCTACGCGTATATACCTTATGGAGTATTCTTCGCTTTGTATTGTTTGCTGTTATCACTTTTCTATAGACGAATACCAAAGAGAGAAAAAAAAAAGGAATGTGTTTTATAAAAGGTTTTCCATATCTAAAGCATACAATGCACATGTGTGCACTGGTAGAGGCTACAAACGTACAAGGTTAAGTACTTATAAGATTTTCTAGTGCACTTGTTGTTATTGTTAATTCATGTACTTTGAGATTAAAGTTCAATTTTTGCATTTGTTGCTTATACAAAACAAAAAAAAAAAAAAAAAAAAAAAAAAATACATTTGTTTATATGCATGCATATACACAGAAGCATAGAATACAGTCTGTAGAACTTACCATTCCGATTTTCACTATCAGCCGGTTTCATTTGAATAGGATGATGCATCTGTAAAGAAATAGTAAAAGAAAAAAAAAAAAAAAGAAGAAGATATAAATAAAGGAAATAAGAAGAAGAAGCTTTATGCATATAGAGTGTATGCCATAGTGTATATGCTGGTAAATCCAAGCACTTTCTAAACATTATCAACAGTAACAAAGAGAGAGCCATCTATGTTACTAATAGCCAACCAATCGGTTTCCTCAATGTGCATTTAGATTTTTGCATTTTTTTCTTCCTGTTTATCTAAGTCTTGTTCATGGTATTACTTCAATAGTGTTTCTTTTCAACTTTTGCACATTCCTAGTGTGTTCTTGTATGTATGTGCGTATATATGTGTGTGTATTTGTTTGGTGTTTATGTATGTTGTTTCCCTTTTATTCAGCGGCTGCTGCATTGTTTGTTGCAACGATTAAAGTGGAATTCGATTACAATTCCATGTTGTATGTATTCAAGTACGTAATTCGCTTAAGTTAACATCGATTGGTTGTTGGGTTTTAGTTCCATTAATGGTACATGGGAAGTAAATTTCTTACGCATACATGGCTACATAAAGTATGGCAGTGAAGAAATGGATTTGTTTGTATTCTTTTCCCACTTTTTTTTCTAACTTGATATTTCACCTTGTTTACGGCGTTAATTTTCTTTCTTACTTAAGTCCTGATACGCAAAAGAGTTATAAGAATTATATGAATAGCCAAAGTTGAGGGCTATTGCTTTCATTTTTTAGTGCATATTCGAGGTCGAAAAACGCGAATTTCTGCTAATCGCAAGCACACGAACAGACCAATTGAAGCCGTTTTCATTTTGCGTAAGAAACATTTCCATGCACAGGGCGCATAATTACCACACATGCAACTGCATATGTCAATGATCAGTAGGGTTTATATGATTTTTATTATTCGCTGGAGTGAAAGCCTTAGTATATGACTTATTTGCTTCACTAAATTGTTATTAAATTCTCAGATTAGGAAATGAATAGAAAATACGTCGTTATTGCAGTAATAGTTAAAATTTTCGTTGGATCTCTTCATCGGAATCACTGATTTCGAAAGATCGATTGATAACGTCAATCAAGACTAGAGAAGTCACGGACATGATTTGCATAATCGGATTTGCTCGCTCTTTCCTTCTTTTGGTCGTCGACAAGAGCAGAACTAGAACTGCTCGAACTTGTGGGAAATATGAGGGAAAATATCTGGAATAAAATGTAAATTTTGGTAGTAAGATATGAACCGGTTTAGATCAGAAAGGGAAATTTAATGGTGGAGTGATAGCGGTAACGACTGAGTCTTTCTGCGTAGCCTTAACTGCTTTCTCTTCCTCTCTCTCTCTCTCTCTCTCTTTCTCTCACTCTCTCTCTCTCTCTCACTTGATTTTCAAAGTTTCTCTTACCGCCTTAGCCGTTATTTAGAATATGTAAGTTGATGGGTATTGCAAGCTAGGCTTGAAGTGAATTTGTCAGTTATTTCACTGTGAGCTTTTCTTACTACGAATTTTAACGAGACACCGTTATATATAAGCATCATTAATGTAGGCATATTTAAATAAGAAGTAATCGTTTAGTCTCCAAATTAAACCTTCCTAGCAAGAATTTAAATTTATTACAGGAAATGTTTTCTTTCAGTTTTATTCTCTTAAGCGCACACCAGAGAGATTATATTTAGCATTTTTAAAATATTTTATTGTAGAGAAATATAAGTCACTCAGCCTATAAATTGTATTTAAGAGTAGTTAACATGAACAGCCGAAGCAATCAGTTTTAATTACTTAAGTGTGCTTCAGGTTCTTTTCTAAGCTGCACTTCAGTTTTAATTTCATATTCCTGTGTATAATCTTTTCAACTAGAATGTAAGGAAGAAAAAAATTAAAACAAGCATGCAAGCCTTACAGAAAATTAATCCCGGAAATAAAAAAAAAAAAGTTCTATTTTTTGCACACAAAACTCGTAGCAAAGGCATAAATTTTTATTCATCATTTTTTCGTAGAAAACATTTTTGTCATTAGACATAGTGGAGTTGATTTAGTAATTTTTTGCTCATAAAAATGGGAAAATTTATTAATATTTGAATTTTTACATATGGAAATGAAAATGTCAAAGTGCATATTATTTCAATTTTTACAAGCAAAATAGAAGCTTGACATCTCCTGAAAAGTAATGTTTTCTTTCTCATAAATATCTTTACCGTTTCACTACAGAACATTAATCAAAAAAATTCTGTGCAAATAACGAAAGTGGGAAAAAATTTCGTATCATCTTATCCAACGTACGATGTAATATCAATGTCATCATGCTATAGTTGAAAAGGTGACATTTAAAAGAAAATATATATCAAAAAAAGCGAATAATCGAAATTTCGATATTCCATAATATTGGGAGTGGTGCACTTTATCCATTTCTATATTATTACACTCAGACCATCCGCACGTATGGATGGTTATGGAAATTTTTATGGTAGTACACAATAATAATTGCACACGTTTCTGCCAAATCAGCCATTGCTGCGACCGAACAATATTTATCCTAGACGTTGCACAGACAGACAGACAAACAGATAGACGGGCCTGCTTAATTCGATTCAGCATTTGATACTCTGTACTCTCTCTTTGGGTCTCTCAAATGTTTTGACAAAGTTGGTGGGTATGAAAAAAGCACCGAGTTAGACTTAGAAACCGATTACGGAATGAACAAATTTTTATTTACCAAAAAAATTACACGATCTTAGACTTTAGATGATCTCATTTCGAAGCAAGTAGGAAACCAACCAATTTTCTTTTATTCATCTTTTCTTTTATTTAGTCAATATACAACTGATCTAACGATTTTGAAGAGTTCCAAGTGCATAGCAGGAATTTACTTAAAATTTTAACCTCCTATCTCGCTAAATTATCCAGCGCGCACTAAATATCTGCTATGTTCGAACCATTTAAAATTTCATATTCTCCCGTAATCATTTATTTACCCACCACTGAAGAATGGGAGTATTTTGTCATAATGTTTGCAATACCCAAAAGCAAGCTTCAGAGACTCCCTAGAGTCTCATATCCTTGATCAGCATGAAATTCCGAATTGATTAAGCCATGTCTGTGTGTCTATGTGTCCGTGCGTATTGTTAGCATCCTGCTGGTCGTAAAAGAGAGGACTATATCGACTATAAATTTGTTAGAAACATTGAAAGTTTTTGCGCGCGGTTTGATATCGAAAATGGGCTAAATTTGTCGAAGCAGGAACCCGCAGTGGAGCGTAAACTGAACGCAACTTTGTAGGTTTTTGCTCGTTACTCAGATATTATCAAAAATCGAAGGCTGAAATTTTTCACATTTACTCGACGAAACACTCTACTCTTTACATGCACAAATGGAAAATATCTGCTATGCCCACTCGAAGTTATAAGTGATTAAATTTTCTGTTTTTAATTTTTTTGAGATTTCCTTCTCGTTAATCATAACGTAAACAGGACAGAATGTTTGAAACTATTTCCTACATTCTTCACACAGACATATTATCGGATTAAAAATGTGTTAATTTCAAAATGAATATGATCGACTTACTATTGTAACGCAAATCTGAGGAGAATCGAAAACACTAAAACCTGTCCACTTGGAAAAAAGCTTTAAACGTAGTAGACGTGAAGGCAGATAGGTTTGCAAAGCCTATTATTTCATCAATATTTTTCGCTAATGGATGTTAAAACGATTAACTAAAAGTGTTACTTTTGCTAACGATGTTATTGTCAACTCAAATAGATTGTAAAATTATCCTTTGAATTCACCATAAAATTACAGGATTTTTGCATTTGAATAGCAGAACAATAGAAAAAAAAAAGGTTAATGCTTAATATTAATGATTACAGATGTTAAGTGGAAGCGAATGGTAAATGCATTTCGTTTAGCTTTCGCTTGACGCAATTTCGTGCATATCATAATAAATTAAAAAAGTAGCACAACAACTGCAACAATAATTGTTTATAAAGTTTCCAATGCAATTAGCTATAAAAACAGTATTCAAATGTTAAGCAAACATAACGGGATTCAAGCATTATGTCCCCTGTTCCATGCAAATGTGTCGTTATTTCGCAATCAGGTACATAATCGCTCTTAAACACATCTATATATGTGCATGTGTTTGTGAGATTGTGAAATTGTATGTACGTATGTATGTGGAAGCGTATGTATGGTAGAGGAAGACAAAAAATAAAATAACAAAAATCCTTTTAAAAAGCACTTGGATTTTCATTTTAAAATTCTCACGTAAACAAACAACTTTTTAACCTGCTTACACAAACCATCCCTTTAAGTGCAACTCAGGCAGATAGTCAGATTAACCAGCAGAACTGTTAGTAGTAGCTTTGTTTCAGGCTTTTTGTGTTTTTTTTTTTTTTTTGTTTTTCTTAATTCATAGCAGAATTACTCATTTATGCATTCGCACCTCCCGAGATGAACATTATCAATGCTTAAAAGGTCTAGCTGCCTGAATAAGTACATGTGAATGAGTGTACATAGATCTCTACTAACAAATGCTAATTTTAGTTACAAACCATTTAAAAACATTTCGAAAGGTCGCACATCTCTCTCTCTCTCTCTCTCTCTCACACACACACACGCACACACACACACACTCATTTTTCCATCTCACTAGCATTGGACATTGATGCTGATTGTGGATTTTCCACCTATTCATGCATATGCTGTCGTTCGTTACAGTTTGAAAAAAGTTTAGTCATTTCGATACGTTCCCTCATCTGCGTACATATGATAGAGTATTTGATCGTATTACCACCTGTGTCTGTATGACTTTCTCACTATTATCTTTATACTCATATCATTTTTACGTGAACGTTGGCATATGTAAATACATATACCATTTGCATTACATCCAGTCATTTCCTTTATTTAGCAAACACATTGAAACTCTTAAGCACTCTTAAATAAACACAAAATGACAGAAACAAACATGATGAGAACTTTAAGCATACCCAGCGACTCCCACTTAAACAAACACCAAATTG